CCCCAAAACCCCAAAACCCCAAAACCCCAAAACCCCAAAACCCCAAAACCCCAAATTTTATTAAAGTCAATGTAATTAGCTAGGCTTATCGTTCCTGCAAGTCTTTAAGTAAACTCTGCACTTCTTCATGGCTTTTTGGATTTTAGAAAATTTGAGATAAAACCACTCTGTCTTCCCATCCTTAATCTCATTCCTGATGATCCTACCCTCTTCAAGGTAATCGTGGATGATGGTTTCGAAGTGCTTGTAGTAATTAGTTACCTCTGTGATGGCAGTAGTATAAGTCTCACCGTTCTTTCTGGAACTAGTCTTGATCCTAGTAGGGGCATCTACCGATCGACCAATTTTAAAAGCCATTACCTTATCGTTGGTTTTCTTCTTCTGATCTTCGTAACGATAGTACACATAGACATAGCCTCTACGGTCATGATCAGAGATCTTCTTAGACAGTCATCTCTTGAGCCAATTTTTGTCGTACTCTGTTGGAAAACTGACCTTGAAAGCTGACTTCTTCATGAACTTGTTGTAGAGCTCTGTGACAGTATTTTCGTCATTAGTAGGACAGCCATTGCCTAGTTTCGAGTAGTGCTCAATATGACGATAGTATGGGGTCTTCTGGAAATCTTCATCTTTGTACTGGACCCAGTTCTTATTTCTTAAATAGCATCTTCTTTAGAATCTTAGGAGCCTGGTAGATGATAAAGTCTTTGTCTTTCTCATTTCGATATTCTAGCTGCTCTAAGTCCTTAGGATGAGATTTATCACTTTCTTTTGAGGCGGGTTTGATAGAGGGTTTTAGTGATAAAGAAGAAAACCTATCTATGAGGTTAATATGAACTATTGGAGGTATTTTCTTTAGTTTAGATAATATCTGAGCCTTCTCTGGGTTTTGTAGTTTATTTTTAAGTGATTTTTGGGGCCTAATTTTTGAGGATGAACTTGATAAAGTATTAGAGTCTTCAGGAGGAGTCTTCACTGATATTCTAGCCCAAACCCTTCTCGATGCTTGCTCTTCCTTACTAACATTCTTTGGTTGTTCAATGCACAATTTTTCCATCTTTTTAATTAAGAAGTTAGTGTCCTTGGCTACCTTCTGTTCCATAAAATTATTGGAATTTCAATAAATTATGCAAATTTAGGGGTTTTGGGGTTTTGGGGTTTTGGGGTTTTGGGGTTTTGGGG